GGTATGTTGTGTGCTTTATAGTTTAGTACGTTTTGCTGTTTATATGCATCGCTCCATATTTGCATTTCGCCGCAAGTTTAGCTTTCGTTTTATTAAATTATAATAGCATCACGATGTGTCAGCTCACAGCTGCATTGTTTGGCTGGCTTTAAATTAATATATTAATTAAACAAATTTTATCAAAGGAAAACCTGACAGAATTCTTTCGTATAAACCCAGTGTAGTATTAAATATTTAGCGGTTTTATGCTGGCGCTTTAAAACCGCTCATCAGGGATCGGTTGTATTTAAAACTCCGATCCAGACCAGATCTCTGAAAACATATTTCCAAATTTATAGACAAGCCATTGCTGTCAGGAAGTTTGCTGTGAATTTTAGCTTACTGTATGTATAAAAAGCTAAATAAACCTATGGTTAAGCTAACCAAACTTTTAAAAACCGTCTCCAAGGGGCTGGTTGTTTGGGTTATTTATAACCCAGCTTTGAACAACTGGTCCCAGATAGCTAAGGGACCGGTCATAAAGTATCTACAACCCCGGGGCGGAGGGTATTCTGATGGGGTGTGAAACTGTTCCCCACACATTTGATGGGGCACAAAATATTTTGACAACCAATTGATGGGGTACGAAATTTTCAACAAAGACTAATATAGTAATGCATATAGTACTCAAGATCTGTCACTCATAAATTTTGTAAAATATAAATTTACATCTCTACAATATATAAAATCTACCATAAAGAGTATATTAATATGTTTTTTACTTATACAAATGGAAATTATTCGTTGATGTGGGGGCTCAAGGCAGGGTCTTAGCTAGAGGACCGTGTTGGCCGTGTTATCGCGGCCAAAAATGGAAAAACACAGCTAGATAAAATTAACGCGGCTTTACTATTTTTTATATAAGGCCGTGTAGGTTCATAAAATAAGGTGGTGCTACTTGCAACAGACATAATTTCTTCCCATTTTCGTCGTAAGAAAGTTTGTAAAATCTACTGTTGTTGTTGAATTGGCAAAAGTAATCCGTGATGTTTTAATATTTTGCTGGATAATTGGAACTGTATGGTGTTAAAATGGTTTAAATACCCCCAAGGGTTGCTGAAATAACTTAATATTTTAATGTCGGTGCGCAACATGAGCGTATGATCGCCTTGTATTTAGTTGCAAAGCATAAAACAACCACAAGCATAGTTGTTGTTGGCGAGCATAACTAGAACCGTGATTTTCCTATTCAAGGTAATTGACATGTGCACGCCCTGGTTATTAGAAACACGCCCAAGATCTAAAATCCTAGCTAAGACCCTGGCTCAAGGCCCCCAGCACCCCCTCCTCCCCAAAAAAAAATTGAAGCTGGTTTGCTTTCCAAAGTTTCACAATGCTATCAGAGTCAAAGAGCTTTGATCTGAATTCCATCACATACTAGAGCCTAACTTTCCAGTTTTTCAATTAGTTTCTGAGAACTTGTCTCTTGGTTTGACGTTAGACAGAGTATTGCTAAAGCGAACAACATTGATGGCATTCCCATCCTTGCTATCTGGGTCTATTATACTCATTACCCTTTTTCCTTGCTTCTCACAATCTTTTGTTATTTTCCAACGTACTGTCCGCTGTAATATTACATACTCTTTAAATTGAATTGGAGCCATTAAATCATGTGACGAACTGCATGTACAGCTCTTCCAATGTTTGGTAGGATCCACAAGTCCTTTGCTAAAATTATGCCTGGCTTTGTAATTTTATCAAGGGCAACATCCTTCAAAAAACGTTCGATTTCCTCGACGTTTTGTTTGTAATTTGGTCCAAGTCATCATAGCCTTGTTCAAGCAAATACTAAAATATTGATTACGGTTACATCTTTCTCGCTCTGATTCACTGAGGATATAAAATCGCTCTCAGAAGCCATCTTGATTCTTGATCTTGAGACAGAGTATGGCAACCACTATAACACAACTACACGAAGTATGCACGTATAACAGACTTTACATTTTTTAAATAAATTTGAATTTTGATACTTACAATTTTGATACTTATAATTTCCGCATTTATGGAAATGAGTTTTCAACAGCAAAAATAGTTTACGTTCGGAAACACGGAATCAGTCAGAATATTCTGAACGAGTGGACGACTCACCGCCAACATGAGGGCTTTGAATTTTATGTGAGACATGCATGGAACAGGATCTATATTATGTAGTAAAAGAACATGCTGCCAAGTACTGTAACTGTAAGTACAGTAGCTATAGCCATGTTTACACTACGAGCCTAAGCCAGACCTAGGCCTAGCTTTGGACTAGATTTTTGTGGTGTAAACGCACTTTGGCCTGGCTTAGGCCAGGAAGTGTGGGCCACCTGACTGTTGTCTTTATACATATTTCAATATTTAAAATTATAGTACCATGCAGGGCCGTATTAACTAGACGCAATAATTCGGGGGGGGGAGGGGGGTGTGAATATTCATATAATCAAAAGAAATCCGTCAGGCAGAACACGAATATATGAATATTTACCCCCTCCCCAATTATCGCGTCTAGTTACGGCCCTGTTTAGTACAGTGTATGGGGTACGAAATATTTTAGTAATATTTGAATGGGACTCGAAATTTTTCCCTTACGTTTGTGAGGGTTGTTAAATTTTTTTAAAAAATCCGGGGCTACCCTCCACCCCGGGGTTGTAGATACTTTATGACCGGTCCCTAAAATTAAAATGCCAAAGACTCAGTCACTTTGGACAAATTCATCAGATCGGCCGAAGCCACATGTCCATGGTTTAAACCGGCTAATTATTAATGCCGGAGTATATATTATTAAAACTAAAGTTCTAAAATTTTCCTTAGACCATAATTGTGCAATTTTGGTAATTTGAACTATCAAATGAAACATATTTATACATAATGCCAGTCGTCCCCAAGGGGCCTGTTGTTTGGGTTATTGCTAACCCTGGGTTAATGATAACCCAGCTTTGAACAACTGGCCCCAGATAGCTAAAATTTAAATGCCACAGATTCAATCACTGTGAACAAATTCATCAGACCAGGTGAAACCACATGTCAATGGTTTAAGCCGGCTAATTATTAATGAGTATATATTATTAAAACTAAAAATCTAATATTTTCCTTACACAATTCCTTGTGCAATTTTGGTGATTTGAACTATCAAATGAAACATACAGTATTTATACATAATGCCAGTCGTCCCCAAGGGGCCTGTTGTTTGGGTTATTGCTAACCCTGGGTTAATGCTAACCCAGCTTTGAACAACTGGCCCCAGATAGCTAAAATTTATGTGCCACAGATTCAATCACTGTGAACAAATTCGTCAGACCAGGTGAAACCACATATCAATGGTTTAAGCCGGCTAATTATTAATGATTTGGATTCTTGCACTTCACTTGGTGGAATTAATATTAGAATGTTAGGGTTTGTAATCCAAGTGAGAACATATACATTTTAAGACCTAACCAGGAACGACTGCAAAAAATGCAGCACAAGGTCCTCTGGTAGGATTTGAACCTACGGCCCTGCGATTCCGGTGCAGCGCTCTAACCAACTGAGCTACAGAGGCCAGCTGTTGAGCTGTAATCGTAAGTTCATGTATCACCGGAATCACAGGGCCGTAGGTTCAATTCCTACCAGAGGACCTTGTGCTGCATTTTTCGCAGTCGTTCCTGGTTAAGTCTTAAAATGTATATGTTCTCACTTGGATTACAAACCCTAACATTCTAATAATTATTAATGAGTATATATGATTAAAACTAAAAATCTAATATTTTCCTTACTCCATGATTGTGCAATTTTGGTGATTTGAACTATCAAATGAAACATATTTATACGTAATGCCAGTCGTCTCCAAGGGGCCTGTTGTTTGGGTTATTGCTAAGCCTGGGTTAATGCTAACCTAGCTTTGACCAACTGGCCCCAGATAGCTAAAATTTAAATGCCACAGACTCAATCACTGTGGACAAATTCATCAGACCAGGTGAAACCACATCAATGGTTTAAGCCGGCTAATTATTAATGAGTATATATAATTAAAACTAAATGTCTAATATTTTCCTTACACCATGATTGTGCAATTTTGGTGATTTGAGCTATCAAATGAAACATATTTATACCTGTACACGATTCCAGTCGTTCCAATGTTAAGGTGAATGAGAACTGCAGGGGTGGGTGCCAAATTCTTAGTTTGCTCATGCCTTGCCTAACTTAGAAACTATGTACATATTGTTTATCATGTTTATATCTGATATCAAAGTCAAAGGCTATTTGCCAGACATTGACTGACACAAGTTTTCCTTGTTCGTTCAATGTTCAATGTATAGTTAAGTTGTGTAGATATCTGCCTACTGTGCTAGATTACATATTGAATCACATTTGAAGACAGATTTCCAAAATTGAATACATTTAACTGTCTCTTAAAATTTGATGTGCTCTACTCTACAATTATGTAGTTGAAGGGTCTTGTAGTCTAATGATGTAAATTACTGAGTAGAAATTTTATACATTTATTAGACTTAACCAGGATCAGTTGCAAAAAATGCGTCTGATACAGGTCCCTGGCAGCAATCGAACCTACTGCAAATTCCGGTAATGGCGGTACAACACTCTAACCAACTTAGCTACAGACACCAGTTGTCAAGCTCTAACCACAAGTTCATGTATATATACCTACTGCAAATTCTGGTAATGGCGGTACAACGCTCTAACCAACTGAGCTACAGACACCAGTTGTCAAGTTCTAACTCCACAAGTTCATGTATATATATACTATAGGGTTCTGCCATGTGTTGGTTATGGGTAAATATCAAGATTTTGTTGGCATCTCACTTGATTGATAAATTTATACTGTAGTTGAAGAGTCTTGTAATTATGAATATAAATGTACCCAAATTCCCACCCAATGAATTCCATCTACAAGACCCTTTAACCACTATTTTACTTTTTGTAAGTGGTACATGAATATTCAAATGGCCATAATTCCACTAAAATAATTTCTTTTTTGCAGAGCAATGTCTACTCACAAGCTAAACCTTCCCTTTTCTGTTCCCGAGGAAATGATCAGCAAGGAAAAAGACAGTGGTATTACGTATGACTTACATTAAGACAAGAGCCAGTAAAGGTGTATAAGAACTCTTAGATGTTTGAAGGCAGACAAGTCACAACATGTGATCAAAATGCATGTAGTACTCTTGGGGAGTGGCTTGTCGGTTGAAGGGCATAATATGTATTATACTGATAAAATCTGCGGTAAAGGTGAGGTTGGTTTTACAGAGAGTCAGAGACTAAAATAATAAATCACCTGAACTCAGTAACTACAGTAACAAACAAAATGTAATAAATTGCTACCTTAATTAATAAATGGCAGCATTTTTCTGACATAAATAATATATGAAGTCATATTGAATTAAACAATGTATATTGGGAAAACATAAACTGACTCCAATATTTCATCTATGGGTGCTTTCCATTTAATGGCCTGACCGGTCAGACCTGAATACTTTTCTCAGTATCAAAGGAACGATCTGGTCTATGTTTCTCAAATGTCTAGCGGAAATGGACCTCATTCTAATGTTATCAAAAATTTTCCGGTTAGATAGGGCCGAAACCCAAATGTTTTGTGTTTCATTCAACAATTTGACTGTTCTGACCGGTTTGGCCATGTTAATGGAAAGCGTCATATATATCTTTTTTATTCAAACTTGTTTGGCATTGTTCAGTCAACAACGAAGAGAAATAAGATTGAAGGGCAATTTTTCAATTTGTCCCTGCAAATGCAGTGCCAAAATTTCAATTTGTCGCTGCAAATGCAGTGCCAAAATTTCAACTTGGCGCTGCAAATGCAGTGCCAAATTTTCAATTTGTCGCTGCAGATGCAGTGCCAAAATTTCAACTTGGCCCTGCAAATGCAGTGCCAAAATTTCAACTTGTCGCTGCAAATGCAGTGCCAAAATTTCAATTTGGCGCTGCAAATGCAGTGCCAAAATTTCAACTTGGCGCTGCAAATGCAGTGCCAAATTTTCAATTTGTCGCTGCAGATGCAGTGCCAAAATTTCAACTTGGCCCTGCAAATGCAGTGCCAAAATTTCAACTTGTCGCTGCAAATGCAGTGCCAAAATTTCAACTTGGCGCTGCAAATGCAGTGCCAAAATTTCAACTTGGCGCTGCAAATGCAGTGCCAAATTTTCAATTTGGCGCTGCAAATGCAGTGCCAAAATTTCAACTTGGCGCTGCAAATGCAGTGCCAAATTCTTAATTTGTCACTGCAATTGCAGTGCCAAATTTTCAACTTGGCGCTGCAAATGCAGTGCCAAATTTTCAATGCCAAATTTTCAACTTGGCGCTGCAAATGCAGTGCCAAATTTTCAAATTGCCAATTTGTCACTGCAAATGCAGTGCCAACTTGCAGTGAGAAATATAAATGCTTCGTAGTTGCGATATCGGGCAAAATATCTCCGTTTTGTCATCGTTTTTATTCGGGTTGCAAAATATAGTATTATATTAAAGATTTGTCAACAAGATAATTTCCCAGTCCTGCTAAATATGCATGATTTTACAATAAACGGCATTGCTATTCTCATTTGCTTCAAGATCATTCAATTTCATTAAAATTTCCTAATTTCTTGCAATGCTGCAGTTCTTGATTTTGTTGGGTTTTGTTGCAAATATTAATAAAATGTAGGGAATCCTGCATGAATGAATAGACAGATTGCAAGAATCTCATTATATTCCAATTATTAGCAGCATATTGGTCAAATTTCGTGCAAAAACAGCAGATTTGCTTTGGTTTTGTCCGGAATTCAGTTAAATAGAATATTTCACTTTGCTCTAGAACGT